GCTCAAAGCTGTGGGAAGAAGAAAAGGAAAGTGAGAATCCCTGAGAGAATCCCAGAACGACTGCGGGGAAAAGGTGTGGAAGCCCCTCCTGTGGTTCCCCTGATGGGGAGACCCCTAAATCTCCTAGATTCCAATTAATCCCAAAATATTAGAATGTTTCCACATAATTGAAGATTAAAAGCAGTGTCCTAAGCATCAAAACTTCTCAAAAGATGCAAAGTAATATTCCGTGTACCCTAAGTCTGAATATGTAGGGACCCTGGCCATGGGCTGCAGTCCCAGGAGGGAGAGACACCTCTACCCCAGGGAAGGTGCAAATGAGACCACAGCACCGCAACCCACGGATTTTACTGAACATATATTTTAATTAAGATAGTATTGACCAGGAAATGTGAGGTAGAGAAATAGGAAAGAGGTCTCAAGGACATAAAGAGTTAGGAAAGATCTCTGGCTCGGACTCGGCAGCTGCCGGGGAGACTCGCAGAGCGTAGCGCCTTTTCCAATTCCTGCCACAGGACGCACTGACCAATTTCCTGTGAAACACTCCTCCAGTCTCCTTTGAAAATTTAAAAGTTTAATAAAGGACAATAGGAGACAACAACCATCGAGCAAAGATGTTATAGCCTTGCTGTTTCTTCACACATAGCCAAGAACTCCCCTGCTACTTTGGAAACCTTCTTGAGATACCATTTCCAATGCATCAGCCTGTTCTATATTCATAAACAATTATGCCGTATTAAAGGTATATTATAATTGTAAGTAAAGTTTATAAAATTCTAATAATTCTAATAATCATTGTAATATCTAATAAAAGTGAATTTTATTAAACTTACATTGGAAGTAAACTTTTCCTAAATCTAATTTACATATTCCAAGAACATTTTAGCTTATCTTCTCCTCAGGTCTGCTTTTTTAGGGCATGCAGATTCCTTGGTTATTCTTTTAGTCCATTTTTATCATAACCTTCATCATTGGGCCTTAGTTCATGCTGTCTTCAGAGGGTGAGTGCTGAGAGGTGCATACCTGTAGCAGGTGTGCTCATCCTGTGTTCCTTGGATGTGATCGCATCCAAGCGGGCATTGCAACACAAGCACACTAGATCAGCTATTTCACTAAGCTTACTTAACAACACAAACAAAAACTATATTTTTATAACAGAGTTACTTTAACACAACCATTATAGAAGCCCTTTTAATATTTTCGAGAAGCCAATGTTATAATATGTATCTGTAAGGCTGCTCAGCGGTGAGTCCGCAGTTCCCGGGCAGAGCCGCAGCGCCCAGCGCTCCCCACTTGCATCTCACCTGCGCCGCCCGCTCGCATCCAGCGA